GATGTATTGCTTCTATGAAAATAGTTTCTATGTTAATCTGAGACAAGATAATATAAAAATTAATCATGCATTTGATTTCAATATACTTGTATTATCTGCCAACAGAAGCCTGCTCTAGAGACAAGCAAGTTTCAAACTTCAAAGCCATCGGCAACAAAATACCCTTTTACTGGGTATATTAACTCCTAATTCCTAACTAGCAGCCACATTTAGTCAGGATCAAGTAGGCACAACATTATAAGCACGTTCAATGAGTACTTTCAAAATTTTTTTACACATGTTCTTTGAAATACCCCCAGCCTACCTTGAAAAAGATTACCTTAATGCACAGGAAATGCCATTCCACGAGGAACGAGGAACAGATTCCGGTTGAAATCAGAATAGCCGGTCCGGTTCAGATTCCAGACCCCTTCCCATGAACCAAACGGATCCTTAGTTGTTATTATAATAGGTAATTAGTGTGAGGGCCGGAAAATCTATGATACCTGGAGAAGATGGTTCCACAGTCACATTTGTACTCTCTAGTGCCGCAGGTCTTTGAATGAGCTTTCCAGTCCGATTGCACCGCATACTTCTTGGAGCATTTGTCACATTTCCATTTCTTCTCACCGTGCTTCCGGCAAAAATGCTTCTTGATTCCGGTGAGATCACCCAATGCCCTACCTGGATTATGGTGGACACAAGATGGCTCCGGGCATATGTATACTCTCTTCCTAACCTCCGTGCTCGTTCTCTGCCGGAGTTTCCATGGCAGATTATGGCCTCTCCGATGCAACTGCAGGTTCTGATCCCTCTGGAATCCTTTGCTGCAAATCTCGCATACAAACCGGTTCGTTGCCATCAGGGTTGCAGGAGATAGGGCGATGACCTCTGCACTTGGGTCTGCACAAAATTTTCAGAAGTCTCAATATCCATTAGTTGATTAGTAATGCTACTTCTTCTTTATTGTCTCAATCAACCATAGATCATGGCATCCCGGAATTCAGAATTTTTACGTCTCTGTTTACAAACTTATGCTCCATTTTATCATCCATCAAATCAATTCATCATTTATGTGTTTAACTGAACTCTAGTGGAATTTCAAATTCTAGTGGAGGAACTGAACCGAGAGCATTGGTGATTAAACTTATTTCTAGCTACTGGTAATAATAATAATTTAATATCGAGATCAACTCAACCTTGGAGCCAAACCTTAAAACAGTACAAGACAAGAAGAGAGAAAAGAGTAAGCAACTACCAATCAGGTACGGATATTACTCCTTAATCTTCGAACAGTAATCTCAAATCTAAAACAGTTGAAAAACAAAGAACGGAAAAAAAGGGAATCAAGCTAGCCACTGTTTTTTCTGCAACTACTGAAATCTTCAGTCAATAATTGAGCCCTTCAACAACCAATTGCAGTAGTTTCCCACTCCAGAAACCAATCTCAATTTTAAGAGATTATTCAACTACTGACATCCCAAATCAGCAAAAGTTAATTTTCGCCTCCCCTCGTCTCTGTTCAAATGATCGAATCAAATTAATCCGTGACGATATCCACGTCCAGACTTAATTACATGCAAACCAATTCAATCCGTTGGAGAGAAATTCCAAGGATGAAAATTTTCAACAACAAGAAGAGGAAAAACGAAACAATCGCTAATATCTGTTTATTGAAATAACCATGTTAAGTTTCAAAAAAGAAAACTAGCTTCTTCATGGTTAACTCGGATTGAAAAGAAACGATTAAGGGTTTAACCTGGAGCTAGCTGAAGGATTATTAAACAGAAATTGGGTACTACAGAAACAACAGTAATGGTTCAAGGAGTAGTTGATTTGCCTGGAGTTCCCGGTAAGTTTCTTTTCTTCTTGACTGTCTGCTGCTGCTGAGGTTTTTGGGAGGTGGAAACTTTGCCATTAGTTGCAGTGGAAGGTCCAAAGTTGGAGCCACGGAAGTGATGTTGTAGTAGTGGTAGCTGCTGCTGCTGCTGCTGTTGGACTTCTTCTCCAGTATTGCCAGAAGAGAAGCTCCCACAATCACCAGTGACGTTTGACATTGGAGGACGGATTGATTGAGTGTCTATAATTGAAATTTGTCTTTCTCTTTTTCAAACTCTTTGCCTTGTTTCTTTCTTTTCTCTCGTTTTCTGGGTTCTCTGGGTTTGTTTTTCTTTATATTTTTTTTGGTTGAACACGAGAGCCGGGATTTGCTCTTAGTAGAGGAAGACAAAAACCAGGGAATTCTCCTTCATTTCTGGAGGAAGGAAACTGGAGCCACCAAGAGAGAACAAACTTGGGAACAGCTAGGCTGGGTCCTCTCTTTGGCTTGTTTTTCCAATATATATTAGTTACGTTTATTATATAACCTACATGCACATGTACTGATTGATGTACATTATCATCTCTCTGGATAGACAGGACTACCCTTCTTTTTCTCTCTTAATTTCTGGTTATCAAGAGAATGCCATTTATTTGGGCACATCCTATTTGGATAGGAGCACAACCCTGATCATGAGACGAAAAGTTCATTTTTCACAATGGTTTTCGAACTGACCCGGATGGTGGACCATTCCGCCCGGGAACCGTTCTGGCAACCGGTTCCATTTCATCCCTAAATCTAAACTTTGCCAAAAAAAACTGTTAACTTGGTCAGTGACCCACTGACATAGATGGTTGAAATTGTTAATCCGTTCGAACAGGAAGTGGAATCATTGACCTGAAAACTGGTGGCTAAAACAGTTCTCATAACAAATTAATTTAAAAAAAAATGTTTTTTCACTTTAAAAAATACAACTACTCTCGTATTTTTACTTTTGAACTTATACAATCCAAAGATCCACCCATGGTTCTTTTGTAGCAGTGCATATATGGCTCAAAGCATTGTTATTTTTAGGTGCTATTTTCTGAAGTAGGTATTAACAATTGAAATTGGCTTTTCCTCTTTAATCCTAATATTTGACATTTCATGGGTTAAAAAACTGGTACATATCATAGGATACTCATCAATATATTATCATGTTTTAAAACTTTTGAACTAGTCATGATTTTGTGATCTTAATTAAGAATCAATTTTAATTTTGAATGTATATAAAAATTTAAAATTTACTTTTGAACTTAAAATTCATTTTGAAAATTGGTTCTTTTGGAGTTAAGAAAATTAATGTTGTAAAAAAAAAGAATAATTTTTAGTTCAAAATTCATTATTCAAATGGTGATTGTTTTGGTCAGACTTTTAACCAAACATAGTCTACTTGTCACTTCATTGTTTCTCATTTGACTTGATTTATTCTCTCCTTTAATCATGATAAGTTTTGAATAGTGATTTTTTTAGGGGTTTTTATAGTTCAGTCCACCTCAGAAATCTGACCTCTACCTACGTCAGATGAATCCTACCCGTGAATTGATGCTAAATTCACCAATAGGATGCGGTTTATAGGAAGGGGGGAGGGCTACTGGTAGATTAGGAGGGGGGGCTGCAATTTCAGTATCAAAGTAAAGTAATTTGATCACATCCCATTACTCCTCAGTTATATAACAAGGATAATTAGATTGTTCACATCATCTGTCCTTTGGTACAGAATCTGTCACATCATTTAAAAAATCACTTTAATTTTAAAATGGGAAAACGAGCTGGTGTGGCATATTGCTATTGGACTGGTATAGAAAATTTTCTGTACCAGAGGAGGGGACTGACGATGTGAATTCATCAGAATAATTAAGGTTCCAGTTGCTTAAGATAACAGAAAAATTGTCAAGAGACCTTGGAGTTATTTCCCTAGGTGGAGTGTTCAATGTTTAAGTCATACATGGAGGACAAAAAGAGAGATCAGGAGATCAAGCTAATATGAAGAGTGTTCTGATGTGTCATCTAGCTGTGATCAAGTGCCCTCATATAGAAAAAAAAAAGGATTTTTAAATTGCATTTCACCTCAGAATTCTGATTTAAACTGCAGAGCTATAATAGTTCAAATTTATGAACACCTCCACCTATAACACTCACACTCTCCTTGAATTGACATCAATTCCGAGCTGGCACCTACCCCCAACTATAAGATAGAACTAGGATTTCAGAAGTGGATTGAACAGTAAAAAATCTAGAAAAAAATATATTTTTTAGGTATTTGGTAATGCACAGTTGCATACACCACTAATAAGCCCCTCCCCCAAGTTGGTAGTTGAGGGAATCGAATTCACATCTATACTAGAGCAAATCAACTAACATACCAACTGAACCATCCCTCAATTGGCAGGTAGATAAAAAAAGAGATTTAGTGAAGGAGTAATGGTCTTCTTGGTTGGTTCAAGTCTCCTTATTTGAAATGGCCCCTTAGTCATCCATTTTTGCCTTAAATGCATGTAGGTCTTTTATTCTACGTTATTCATCGGTTATGCCAATGAATTTACCACATTGCCCTTGGTTTGTGCTATATGGCTCATTTTTCGATTAATATTTGGCCATATCACATCCCAACCCTAGTGAAAAGACAAAGGAAAGCCCTGTTTATAGCTATAAAAATGAATGCATGATAGTGTTTTTCTAAATTCGGGTTTAGTGCTCACAAGACTGTCCTCACACCGTCTTCATAGCCCTTAGCAAGCTTTTTTTTCAAATGCAAGCTGTGCATTTGAAATATCTTCTGATTAATAAAATATACGAGTATAAAGATGTTTCCAATACATAGCTACAAAAGGCTGTAAGGACAATTTTATGAGGACCAAATTATTTTTCGCCTTTAAAATTATAACAATATATTTTTTTTGAGAGAATGACTGATCAGGTTAGAATTTTGTAACCCACACCATACAAAGGAATGAATCCTGACTGTGAATTGATGCTAAATTCATAGACTGAATGCAGTTTATAGGGGGAGGGGCCTATTAATAGACTATGGGGGGCTGTCATTCAAAATTCTGCATTGGGCTACAGAGTGCTTAACCCTTTTTTTTTTTACATTTTAGCATAATAATGACTAAGGGTGTTGATGTGCCCTTTATAAATATGGGATGTGCCCAAATTCCTTCCCTTGTCAATTATAAGAACCTCAAAGACCCATCTCTTTATTTTTCTTAATAATATTTTTGGTGGTCGGTTGGTTATATTTCAAAAGGAAAGGGGTAAATTTGTAACCTACGTTATAATAAGATACCCATGAAGGCATAGAATAAATTAATAATTTTCTGAGTTCGGACATTGCTGGCTTATGGTTGTGGGTTTTGTCCGTTTGTGTGGTGTTATCTTTTCGATTCTTAAAATAAAAAATAAAAATTTCTAAAACTATTAACAAATTCAATAAAAAATCATAAAAAGGGAAACCGTATAAAAAACGGTACCCTCCCCACAATGGTTTTTTCACCAAATCTCTGCAGTAACACTGTACCTAATCAGCCGCCGTGACTCATGAAATGACCGAAATACCCTCAGAAGTCACGGGAGACCGCTTCATCGAACCCCTCGCGAAAGGGACTCAACAAAATTCTGGAGATCACGTGCACCGCTGGCAGTTCCACATTTGTCAGAAATTCCAGGGGCTCTATTGCGATTTTCTCGGATTTGATGGACGATGATTCAGTGTTTCTCTTTTCTATAATGCTACTGTGGACTGAAGATGGTGATGGGAGGACGACGTGCCTCGTGTGATCGATTAAACTGGTTTTGGTTTGGTTTGGCCTCTGTCAAAGATGTTTGGCTTTTGTCTTCTTTTTTCCTTCTCAAAGCCCAAGTCGCTTTCCATGTTACTGTTCCATTCCAAATTTCCAATTCCATATCTCCATTTTTACTTCTCTATTTTCTTTCTTTCACACTTTTCCTTTCCCTAATCTCTCTGCAGTCTGCACTAGCTTCTAATTCACCAGAGAATGGTTGCCATCACCAACAGTCTCTCTCTCTTTCTCTCTCCTCTCAAATGGGTTTTGGCCTTTTGGGTATGGAGATTGGAGGGGAGACAGGGTGTTATCACCGTCTCTCTCTCTCAAATGGGTTTTGAGTATGGAGATTAGAGGGGAGACAGGGTGTTATCACCATCTCCCCCTCCTCTCTCTCTCTCAAATGGGTTTTGGTTATGGAGATTGAAGGGGAGCTAGACAGGGTGTTATCACCATCTCTCTCTCAGGGGAGACAGGGTATTATCACCAACAGTCCATCTCTCTCTCTTAATGGGTTAATGGGTTAATGGGTATGGAGATTGCAGGAGAGATTGGTTTGCATGGGTGCTGCATGTATTTGGATTTTGGAATTACAAACATGCATGTGAATTGAAGCAATTTATCAGCTCCTGTCTGCAACATCTGGGAGTGGCAGTGGTGGTCCTTGATCCGACCCGCCAATCTATCCAAATGTCCAATTTTTCCGGCTTTTGCCTGCAAATGTGGGTAGAACTCCCCGAGTTGGTTCCCATCAGCATCAGGCCATCACCATGCATGCTGCTCATTGAAACTGAAAACCCTAACATAACACCCCCTTTCATTTTCTTATCTCTGTATCGATCGCCTTTCATCTTTTCAAGGTCGCCCCGAATTTGATGACAGAGATCATTACCTGCTCCGCTGCATGTATATTACATGAAGAAGCCAAAGGCTTGGGCGTGGGGAGCTACAGGACTCCCTCCTTAAATCGTCTGTGGCCTTGTACCTACCTACCCACACTCACTTGTCCTTACTCAGAGGACAACGACTCACCACTGAACAAAGTGAGACTTTAGCCTTTGAAACGCCTTCTTCACTCTCCTAGAAAGAGATGGTTTTGGTGCAGTGCAGTAGACACTATCTTGAGCAATGGAGAGTGCTGCTTAGCCTCATCAAGCTGCAGCAGCAGAGCTCCATCATCAACTAGGGCTAGCTCCTCCTGTGAGTTGCAGAAGCAGGACGCTCCTTCCAATGAAAAAGCTTATGGTTTAATTTACTTTAGCTACCTAGACTCATCCCCACTACGTTCTCCATAGCTAGCTAGGGGGGTTACGTTCCTATGGAGCAAAACTTTTCGTGGAGTGTGTGTTCCGGAGAGACAAGACAGCTCTTTAATTTTCAGGAATCTGAAAATTAGTCACCTAACCCAATTTTGCAATTTATATGAACCGTTTTATACTCTACAATATTTTCATTATTTGCATCATTTCCAAATGCAGCTTAATTAACTTTGATTGGAAGCCAAGAATATAGCTAACAGATAGTTGTATTTCCATTAGGGATACTACCTTAACCAATGGGTATCCTGATTTTGGGGTAATGATAGGTTCTAGGATTTTACAACCCCTATGGATAAAAGTAGGGTATGGTATTAGGCTAAACACAACCCTCTCCAATTTGCGTAT